TGCGTTTCTTAAAATCTCAGAGCAGAATGATCTAATTTTTATGCAAGTCATTCTGACGACTTGCCAAGGCATCTTCTTGGCCAGGCCTCTTGCCTAGCAGGGATTCTCATCTTCCTCTCAATTCTATGCGCTCAATTCTGCCTCACTTCTCTTGAAAGGCGCAGGCAGGGAGTTTCAGAAGCGGCTGTGTGGCTTGTCACTGTTACAGTCTTTGGTCACTTAGAGAAGGCCTGGGGTGTCCCAGCTCAGCACAGCAGCTGGGAGTTCACCCACAGAGAGGTATAGATTTCATGTGTCAATTTCTAATGCCCCCGCCGCCAGTCCCTGACATTTTACCATTTTGGATTCATAAGAGAAGCTGAGCCTCTAGTATACCTAGGGCAATGTGGAACAGGGGAAGAAACTTCCCGACCAGTAGCACTGTGAATCCCCTCCCCCACTCATATTGCTCTTCAAACAGAACACATAGTGGGAGTGATTTCCAAAAATGCCTTTTAATTTGTATAAGCTGGAGCCTAATGCAAACGCAAATGCAACTACGAAACACCTTTCCACGCTTCCAGACACCTGCAGCAGGGGGAGCCCTGCTCTTGGTGGACTGACTGCGCAGGCCTTAGTCCTGACTTCAGGAAGCATTTGCTGCTGGACAGTTCTCCTGACTGCCTGCAAGGGAGAGCGATTCCAGGCAGAGTCTTCTTACAGCTTCCTTACAGCTTCTGCAGCTGGGGCTTCTGGATTGGGAGTTTCTCTCTGGCCCTGAGCACCACATAGAAGTGCACACGCTGCACAATAAAAGAAGGCATGCTGCCGAAGGCATCTGCCTAAGTGTGCTTCCCAGGGGCTGGTGCACATCTGATTTCAGTCAGATGTTGGGTAGGTACGTGTGTGTGTGTGAGTACAGCATGATTTACCACCGAAACAAAGAAGCACTCATGTAACTACTTCATTTCAATTATTTCTAATTTTAAAAGTATAAGTAGTATTTGGAAATACAATATATATATAGTTTTAAAAGAACTAACTTTTGCCTTTGTTGATATCTTTTTAAATATCTTAATTAAACAGCATTAAGTTCTATTTTTATTCCTATCTTTGGGTATATTCTGTTTCTTTTTCTTCTATAACATCTTAAGAGCAATATTTAGCTCATTAGCTTTCAGAGTTTAAAAAAATTTCCCTAACATAGTAAGACTATAAACTTGCCTAAATTATGAATTCTGACATATCCCACAATCTTGACACATAACAGTTTGATTATTATACAGTTCTGAGTATTTTTAAATTCTCATTATGATTTTTTTTGGTCCCAATAGTTATTTAGAAATGTGATTTTAATTTTAAATATATGGGCTTTCAAAATATTGTTTTTACTAATTTCTAATTTAATTGCATTGTGATCAGATCATTTGGATTGTATGGCACCAACTTCTAGAGGTGTGTTAGTGCTTGGTAAGTTAAAAATTGCACAGTGAGCACCTGTAAACTCCCCACCTTGATTCATCAGCTGTTGGTGTTCCATGCGTTCTTCAGAAGAATGTCTCATTTATCTGTGCAGGGTTCTAAATGAGTCTATTAAATCAAGCTTGTTACCTATGATGAAATCTTTTACACTTTACTAATTTTTGTCTGCTTGACGTATCAATATTCAAACTGGTATACTGAAATTTCCAACTCTGATGACAGTTCTATGGTGCTTTCTCCATGTAGTTTTTCAATTACCACTTTGTATGTTCTAAGATTTTATTATCCTCTTATAAATTTAGAATTGTTGTCTCTTCTTCATGATTGAACACTTTGTCAACATGTAGCGACCCTCTTTGTTCCTATAAGATGGTTTTGTTTTAAATTATATTTTCTGATATTCATATAGCTATTCCAGCTTTGTTTTTAAAATATTTACCTCATATATTTTTCCCATAATTTTACTTTCAACTTTTCCATTTCTAATTTTTGTATCTGTGTCTCTTGCAAACAGTTTTATTTTGTTTTGCTTTGATTTTATTTTGTTTCTTAAATCCACCAATTTCTGATTGTAAATGACATGTTTAGTCTAGGTATTTTTATTATATTGGGTTTTCGGAAAAATCATGATGCACTTTTGCAATGAAAAACAGAAAAAATACGTCATGACTTTTCCGACAACCCAATAAATACTGATATATATGTACTTAAATGAATTTGATCCTGTTGTCTTACATTTTGCCTTCTACTTGTCCTTTTTTCCTTTTCTTGCCTTTTTATTAAAAATTTTTGTTGTTTTTTAATAACAAAGATAATTTTATTGCTTAATGTCTTTTATCATGTTTAAGTAATTAATATTTATTAATATTTATAGTCTTAGTACAACTGGTTTTTTCTGTTAAAAATCATCAGATGCCAAATGTTTTCTTTTCATAGCTTACAGATTTTTTTGTAACCCCACTAATTGGATATTAATATTATTTTAAAATACATTTATTTAGATATTGACTAATTTTTATCATTCACAATTCTTGCATCTGAGCCTTTCCTTCTGTGGTCATTTTAAAAAAATTTTCATTGAAGTACATGCTTTAGAAGTTCTTTTAGCAAAGGTCTTTTTCTGGTGAACTACTGTTTTTTGTTTATTCAAATTGTCTTTGTTTTACCATTATTTTTGAAAGACAATTTTTTTAAGTTGACAAAAATTTTCTTTCATTACTTTAAAGGTTATAAATAATTTTGTGAATTCCACTATTGCTATTGATAATTCAGCTGACAGCCTAATAATAGTTTCTTTGTAGGTTCTTTGTAGGTGATCTTACTGGCTGCTTTTAAGTTTTCTTTGTCTTGATGGCCTAATTCCCCTACACCATGTCTAACTGTTCCTTTCTTGTTATTTATCCTGCCTGTTAGATCTTGTCTTTTCTCCACCTTTTAATTCATGTCTTTCATAAGTTCTTGAAAATGACCATCTCTTTATGTCTCTGCATACTGTCTCTCATCTATTATTTCTACTTTATCTTTCTAGAATTCCAATTAGATAGCTTAGGTCTTTCTGTTCTGTACTGTCTCTAAACATCTTATATTTATGTTCTCTGCATTCTGAGTAATTTCTTCAGCTTTATTTTCCAGTTATGTTTCTTTTCAGATGTCTCTATTACTCTGTATAATCCATCCACTGAATTTTACAAATTTTTTTATTTTTAAAATTGTCAGGTTTGCTGACTGTTGTAAACAGAACCGTGAATAAATACCTGTATACCTTCCACCTAGATGATTCTCCAACTGTACCATCTTGCTACTCCGGATATGTGTGTACATACACACGTATGTCTATATATATACACATGTATGCATGCATGCACACGTGTGCGTGCACACACACACACACAAACGCACGCACACACACACACACCATCCTACTTCCCCTAAAAACCACCTGACAGTAGGCTGCAGCCATCATGTATGTTACTCTCAAATACTTTAGCACATCTCTCTCAAGAACAAAGACATTCTTATACTAACATGATGGTATCACCACAATAATGAAATCCACATGAATTATTATCATCCAACATATTGTTTATATTCACATTTCCCCAGCTGTCCCCCAAAAGTCAGCTACATAAGCTTTTTGTGTGTGTGTGTGTGTGATCTATGAGCCAATCGAAATGTACACTATTGCATTTGGCTATTATGTCTCTTTAATCTCTCCTATTCTAGAACAGTACCCCATATCCCTCTGCTGTTCATGATATTGAAACCTCTGAAGAATATAGGCTAACTGTTCTGAAGAATATTCCACATTCTGGAATTGTCCAGTGGTTTCCTCATTATTAGACTTGGGTCAAACATTTCTAGGAAGAGTGTCACCTAGATGATGTTATATCTCCCCTTACATCACCTTGGGAGGCACATAATGGCAGGTCTTGGTTGCAATGGGCACTGCCTGACCTTACTGCCAGTCCTTACCATGTAAAAGCACATTTCCCTCTTTGTAATTAATACATAATATGAGAGTGGTTCCATGAGACTGTGTGAATAGACTGCTCCCCAACAACCTGTCACCCAATGGTTTTAGCATTCCTTGATCCTTGCTGACTCAGTTGTCACATTTGGGATTACAAATTGGTGATTTTCTAATTCTACCATTTCTTCTACATTTACTAGCTAGCATACTTCTATAAAAAAGAGCATTTCCTCCCCCTCCTCCCTCACAGGGTCTCTCTGTAGCCTTGTGAATTTTTAAGATTCAATATATTTTAATCCATTACTGTCATTATTCTTTCTGATGTTCAAATTGTCCAACACTGCGCCAGTGGGAATCCTTTCAAGATAGCTCCTCTGCCCTTTTGATATGACACTGCTAGTTTTGACTACTTTCTTGCGTTCGGGCATAACACACGTTCAGGCTCACATTGTGCTTTCCCCACTGCAGCCTAGAATTAGCCATTTTTTCTAAGAAACTCTGGTTCCTTTTAGTGGGGCATGATATTTATGAGCCAAGATCTGGTCATTAGGTATGCTCATTGTCACTGGAAAGTCCCACTGGTGGTTTTACTTCAACAACTCGATTTTCCACTTAAAACAATCTCTATTTGGTTGTTGTTCAAACCAACCTGGTCACTTTTGATGATTAACTTTTGTTCCCCAAATTATATTTTCATATTGTTTAGCAATAGATGTTGTCCAAATAGGATGGAGGAGGAGGAAGAGGAAGAAAAAGAAGGAATCGATAGAGAAGGAGGAGAAGGAAGGGAGTAAGGTGCATTTATTCATCAAGTAATAGCAGATGGTGAATACCTTCGCAACTCTTGTAGGGGCTGCTTTGGACTTCTAGAGCTGAGTCTACTGCACTTTGTTTGGAAATTTATTGGTGGATATCTGTTGATGGCATCTAGGAGGAGAAAAATTTGTGATAAGTCTCTTGTTCATGGCTATTAACATTACAGCAACCTACTCTGTATGCAAAGCTTCACTTCGTTTTTTCACATCCACCAAAGAAATATACCAACTAAGGCAGCCATATGAGGCGACAGCAGATTTCTCAGGGGAGTCTCTAAAACTGGATTTAAGAAAACTACGTCTCTGCCGAATTTATAGGTAGAGAATTCAACTTACTTTTCAATAAGATGCCCGTAGCTGCTAAAGTTGGTCAGACATTAGAGATATCATGAACCAGGCCTAAGAGTCTGGCCTCTAACTGACAGGAACCAATCAGAACAGTTATTTTTATTTGCACTTTTAAAATATCCAAATGCAAAGGGAAAGGATATTCCCTTTATGGTCTCTGTATCATTAACAACAACAGAAAAATAGCGCCATCTTGGGTTTAATTCATTAGCTCATTTCATTTGGAAGTATATTAATTTTTTATAACAACAAAGAATGCCTCTTTCCACACCATTTAAACATTTAAAAGCCATTTTTATGGGAAACTTTAGAAAATGTGTTATTTCCCTGAAGTATTAAATTGAACAGACTTGTTAAATGCAATTACATCTCTTCCTGGTGATCCAAGGTCGTAAACGGCAAGTTTGTCCTGGGCTTGTGATACAGCACCGTCTCCAGAACTGCTGGTGTAGATTAGGCTGTGTGCTTCTAGACTGAAGGGCCCACGCCTGTGATGTTTCCCTTACCATGCATCTGATTTTTAATTTTTTATCTGTCTTAGCTCCAAGCATCAGGTTGTTTGTTAGTTTTGTTTCTCTTAGGAAGTGTGTTGATTTTGATATGGAGTGTGCTTGATCGCCAACTCGATCACAACAGTATGTTAAGAGTCACCACAGAGAGGGAGCTGGACTAGAATCCCCAGGAGGGAAAAGCAAGTGGCTCACACCTAATAAATACGCGTTAATGTTGAACAGGTGAGTAGGAGTCAGTGGACCTGCTATGGAGCTAAGTATGCAGGCTCAAATATGATTTTGTCAAAGCCTTTTTCAACTTTTTGTACTTCTACAGCTATATTTTAAAGATGTCTAGATTTCTAGATACTTAATTTCTAGAAAAGTGGTGACGATATGACTATAGTTTTCCAAAAAGCACTTTCGATATCTCTCACTTACCCCAAGTTATTATTCTTAAAACATCTCTTCCTCTTGCCCTGGGTGGTGGTGGGGGTGTCATTTAGCTAAGCATACACAGACAGACCTAATTTTATTGCGCCTCGCTTTATTGCGCTCCACAGGCATTGCGTTTTTTTATAAATCCAAAGCAAGACAGCAAGTAGATTGCGACTTGCTTTACTGTGAGACTTGCTCTGTTGCCATAGTCTGGAACCAAACCTGCAATATCTCTGAGGTATGCCTGCAGTTTGGCGAATTACCATGAAACACCACTAAGACTTTTGGGGGCACTGGGGAAGGAAATTCCATCTTAAACTTCCTTTTAACTTTTTGCCTAAGGAGTGTTTCTTTACAAATTCCTCAGTCTCTCAGGGTAGCCTTATGTTTTACCCTTACAAATAAATGCCTGTGATTACTTCCTTCAGAATGACCGGTAGTCCCCCCCCCCTTCTTTTATCTAGCTCCTCTCTGTGGTTCCTATTTCAGAACACATCCACATGAATTTCACTGTGGGAGCTCACTGCTCCCATATCAGTGTATCTCAAACCATGTGTACATGTGAATCCCTGGGGATCTTGATAAAATGCAGATTCTGGCTCAGAATCTCAGGAGTAGGGCCTGAGATTGCATTTTCCAGAAGCTCCCAGGTGATACCAGTGCTGTTGTTGGTCCTAGACTGACGCTTGGAGTAGCTGTGTCCCATCAACAATTTCCCAAGGCTCCTCAGACCTCACCTGCACTTACTAGTCGAGGTCTTTGCAGCCTTACCTGCTCTCACTGTGTCATGTCAGTGACAAGCTGGAGACACAATCAGAACCTCCCTTACACTACTCTGGGTGCTCTTTAGCCTGTGTTCATTTTTCTTTACTTGAACTCCAAGGGTTCATTCACCATGAAAACATTCAGAAATTCAACTAAGTGCTTTTCAACCTCCAGAGTCATTATCAAGACATGGCTTGTTTTGTGTGTGTGTGTGTGTGTGTGTGTGTGTGTGTGTGTGTGTGTGTTTAATGTATCCTGTTACATTCAAAATGAATTGCATACTTCCAAGGCAAGCTCACGCCAAGAAATATGGGCTTTTTTTTTTTTAATGGGCACCAGCTA